CCACTGAGCTGCGGCCTCAGCTCTACCATGTATTGGTCAGTAGAGATGTTGTACCCAAGGCAGGCCCTTTCAAAGTTTTCTAAGAAGGCCTCAGTATCATCACCTGCCTTGTAGGTGGGGAACTTTCTGGGATGGGAAGTGGTACCTGGAGAAGGATTGCTAGGGTTTGTTGGTATATTCTGCTGGGCCTTTATCCTCTCCACCTCCTCCACATGCTTCCTCTCTTTTTCCTTCTCCTCCTCCACATGCTTCCTCTCTTTTTCCTTCTCCTCCTCCACATGCTTCCTTGCCTCCATTTCCCTCTTGTGGGCAGCCTCCTGTACCTCCTTCTCCAGCCGCATGAGTTCTATCTGTCTTTCATGTTCCCTTTGTCTTTCCTCAGCCTGAAATTTGGCTAATTCCAGCTGTAGTTGAGCTGAGGATTTGGTCATTCTAACCTCTCTGTTTTTAACTAACTTTACACCTGAGGTTTAGAAATAAACAAACAAAACTTGGCTGTAAAATTTTGCTGTGCTGCAATAGAATACCTATTCTCTGATAGTGATTGTCAGCCTACAGAAAAAGACAATTCCCTTGTCTCTGCTCTGGGCCCAAATTAAAGCAAAAAACCTCCAACTACTTGGAAACCTGCTTACCCAGCCCAAAGAAAAAGCAAATGGGTAGAACACACACCCCCTATTTACTTTTAGGAAGAAAAGAAAAAAAACCTCTGGATTGGAAGATTTCCCTGCAGGAGTTAAGTACCCTGCCTCCAGGCAAAAAAAACCTGCAATTCACAAGATAATCCCCTTTTGTCTCTGCTTGGCCACAAAGCAGAGAGAAACCAAGCTGCTTTCAGTTTCAAAGCTGCTTTCTGGACTTTCTTTCCAAAGAAAAAAAAAATTTTCCTTTTTAAAATCTGTATTTCTAGTTCAAAAAATCTCAACTGGATCTCAAATGATTTCAGGTTAATCCCACCACTGTGCCACCATGTCAAGGTTCCTCCCCCACTCTGAACTCTAGGGTACAGATGTGGGGACCTGCATGAAAAACCTCCTAAGCTTATCTTTACCAGCTTAGGTCAAAACTTCCCCAAGGTACAAAATATTACACCCGTTATCCTTGGAATGGCCGCTACCACCACCAAACAATTACTGGTTACTGGGGAAGAGCTGTTTGGACGCGTCTGTCCCCCCAAAATACTTCCCAAAACCTTGCACCCCACTTCCTAGACAAGGTTTGGTAAAAAGCCTCACCAATTTGCCTAGGTGACTACAGACCCAGACCCTTGGATCTTAAGAACAATGAACAATCCTCCCAACACTTGCACCCCCCCTTTCCTGGGAAATGTTGGATAAAAAGCCTCACCAATTTGCATAGGTGACCACAGACCCAAACCCTTGGATCTAAGAACAATGAAAAAGCAGTCAGTTTTTTACAAGAAGACTTTTAATAAAAAATAGAAGTAAATAGAAATAAAGAAATCCCCCCTGTAAAATCAGGATGGTAGATATCTTACAGGGTAATTAGATTCAAAAACATAGAGAACCCCTCTAGGCAAAAGCTTAAGTTACAAAAAAGATACACAGACAGAAATAGTTATTCTATTCAGCACAATTCTTTTCTCAGCCATTTAAAGAAATCATAATCTAACACATACCTAGCTAGATTACTTACTAAAAGTTCTAAGACTCCATTCCTGGTCTGTCTCTGGCAAGAGCAGCATACAGACAGACACAGACCCTTTGTCCCTCTCCCTCCTCCCAGCTTTTGAAAGTATCTTGTCTCCTCATTGGTCATTTTGGTCAGGTGCCAGCGAGGTTACCTTTAGCTTCTTAACCCTTTACAGGTGAGAGGAGCTTTCCCCTGGCCAGGAGGGATTTCAAAGGGGTTTACCCTTCCCTTTATATTTATGACAGGAGCCTCGCAGGCCTGGTCTCACATGGACTCTCCTTGGGCTTGACATCTGCCTTGGTGCACAAGGAGCTGGGAAGCAGGAGGCTGGGCCGGGGCCGTTATCGCTTTCTCATTTGTAGCCCCGCTCCTGGCAGACCCCAGAGCGACTCCCGGCGAGAGTGGCTGTGCCGGTCCCAGGCGCGAGCAGCGCTGCATCCGCTGCAATCAGTGGAAGGAGCAAGGGCAGCAAACCTGGCCCCGTGACTGAGCGCTCGCTTTGGCGGGGCAGAGGCTCTCAGGAAGAGCTGCTCTTGTTCCCCGGGAACGGTGGGGCAGCCCTCTGGGTGCCGTGTGGGTCAGAGAAGTGCTCCTTTGGCCTGCAAGTCTATTAAACCCTCTCCGCTCTGCACACCGGAAAGCAGGGAATGGGGCCAGAGCAACCCGGAGCTTCCGGCAGGGAGGTGTGAGCAGCTCCCCACACCCCCAGCACAGGGTGACCTCACCACACCGGCCCAGGGCTTGGGGAGGGAGAGGCAGCCTAGGGGCTTGGTGACAGGCCCATGGTGGCCTTGGCCCCGTCACTGCCCCTCTCTGCTGGGAGGCTGAGCGAGCAATCTGCACACAGGAGACACCGGCTAAGGGCTAAAGGGGGGTGGTGTCCTGAAGCCAGCCAACTCCAAGCCTACCTGGCAGGAAGGGGCTTGGGGTTCCCCCAGACACTCTGAGAATGGAGCCTTTCCTCTGGTTGCTCTCTGCCTCCCCCGCCCCGCTCAGACCCCTTCCCCAGGCCCCCCCATCCCCATTTGGATCAGTAACGACCGGGCTCCCCTTGGTGGTCAGTCTGGCTCAGTGGGGAGCCTGAAGGCCAGTACCCAGGCTCGTACTCAGGTGCAGTGCGAGGGGCAGTGGCTGGAGCTGGCCTCCTGGAGCCTCGCTGAGCAGGGAGTCGGCTGGCGGCCTTGGCAGCAGCAGGAACGAAAGCACCGTCCAGCCCCATGAGGCCTGTCAGAGCCAGTGGGACCTGCCCCCGGGCTGCGCCGCAGGTCTGAGGGGCTGTGGAGACAGAGATGGAGCGATCTCTGCAGACTCTCAGGCTCCCCGACGCCCAGGAGCTGTGGGATCATCCAAACCTCCTTCACCCAAAAGCCCTGCAGAGCCGGGCAAAACCCTGACTCTGCCAGAGCTGGTGCCCCCGGGCAGCGCTGGGCAGGTCAGGGAGGGGGCCTGGAGTTGCACTCTGAATTCTGACCCTACAGGACCCCAGAGAACATGGCTCGGCCCTTTCACTCCAAGTGGGAAATGGGTTTAACGCTAACAAGGGTCTATGGGGGCAAAGGAAGGAGCCAATGGCAGAAAGGAAGCGGCCGGGGGTGTCTGGTTACCAGACCCTTCCTGGAGAGAGCATCCACTCCGAACCCCGACAGCCTTTCCGACACACCGGGTCGGCCTGTTTGGGGTGACGATCGCTGGGCCCTGTCCGCCCCGGGGGGCTCTCGTGCCACGGGCCTTCAGGCTCCTGCTCTCAGAGCAGGGTCGTTATCGTGGCATCGAGACATCCGGATCCCCCGTTTCTGGGTGCCCCTGAGAGCCCCTGGGTGGGGGCGGGCAGGCCCAGGTGAGTCAAGCCCCCCACTGCCTGCCAGGGGCCTGTGGGGCTGGCAGCTGTTGCCGATGCAGAGCGAGGCGCCCGAGTCCAGCCCTCTGCCCCGAACACTCCCGGGGGGAGGCTGGGCCCTGCCCCCCACAGCGCAGCGATGGCACCCGCCGGGCACTGAGCGCTCACGGGGGGTGCAGGGCGACAGCACGGCCCGCGGGGAGAGCTGCAAATCAAAAGGGTGGGGCTGGGGTCACCCCCTGAGTTTCTGGAGGCGGGGGGAGGGGCTGGGGTCACCCCCTGAGTCTCTGGAGGCGGGGGGAGGGGTGGGGGTCACCCCTGAGTCTCTGGGGGGGGGGAGAGGGGCTGGGGTCACCCCCCCAAGTCTCTGGGGTCGCCCCCCAAGTCTCTGGAGGGGAGGGGGAGGGGCTGGGGTCGCCCCCCGAGTCTCTGAGAGCGGGGGAGGGGCTGGGGTCGCCCCCGAGTCTCTGGGGAACGGGGAGGGGCTGGGGTCACCCCCCCCCGAGGGCCTGGGGGTGGGGGAGGGGCTGGGGTCACCCCCCAAGTCTCTGGGGAAGCGGGGGAGGGGCTGGGGTCGCCCCCCGAGTGTCTGGGGGCGGGGGAGGGGCGGGGGAGGGGCTGGGGTCGCCCCCAAGTCTCTGGGGAAGCGGGGGAGGGGCTGGGGTCGACCCCGAGTGTCTGGGGTGGGGGAGGGGCTGGGGGCGGGGCAGACACTACATTTCCCATCACCCCCCGCGGCGGGCGGAAGCGGAAGTGGCGGCAGGACGCAGCGGCGGCGGCGACCCCGGTTCGGTCACCTGGTAACCACCCCCCCCGGACCCCCCCGCGCCCCGCCCCGCCCCCAGGGCTTCACCTCCCCCAGACCCCCGATCCTGCCCCCCCCGGGCCCCCGCCGCCTCTTCACCCCCGCCACGGCCCCCCCCGGGCGGATCGCGGGGTGCCGGCGCTGCGGGGGCGAAGGGGTCCCCGAGCTGCGCCCCCTCCCCCCCCGGGAAGGGGTCCCCGAGCTGCGCCCCCTCCCCCCCCGGGAAGGGGTCCCCGAGCTGCGCCCCCTCCCCCCCCGGGAAGGGGTCCCCGAGCTGCGCCCCCCCCCCCCCCCGGGAAGGGGTCCCCGAGCTGCGCCCCCCCCCCCCCCGGGAAGGGGTCCCCGAGCTGCGCCCCCCCCCCCCGGGAAGGGGTCCCCGAGCTGGCCCCCCCCCCGGGAAGGGGTCCCCGAGCTGCGCCCCCTCCCCCCCCCGAGAAGGGGTCCCCGAGCTGCGCCCCCCCCCCCCGGGAAGGGGTCCCCGAGCTGCGCCCCCCCCCCCCGGGAAGGGGTCCCCGAGCTGCGCCCCCCCCCCCCCGGGAAGGGGTCCCCGAGCTGCGCCCCCTCCCCCCCGGGAAGGGGTCCCCGAGCTGCGCCCCCCCCCCCCCGGGAAGGGGTCCCCGAGCTGCGCCCCCCCCCCGGGAAGGGGTCCCCGAGCTGCCCCCCCCCCGGGAAGGGGTCCCCGAGCTGCGCCCCCCCCCGGGAAGGGGTCCTTTCCCCTCGGGCCAGGCTGTCCCCAGGCAGCGGGTCGGAGGGGCGGTCACAGAGCCGGCGGGATGGGGGGAGCCCCGTGACTCTGCTGCTCCCCTGCCGCGCCAGGCTCCCTCTCCCCCGTAAACCGTCTGCCCGCCCGGCTCCGGTTCTCACGGTCTCCTGCCAGCCCTGGTCTCCCCTCCAGTCGCCCCCCTGGCCTGGGCCCTCGGGAACTGCCCCTGCCGTGGCCTGGGCCGGCCGGGGGGCCAGGGCTCCGCAGCACCTGCGGACAGGCCACGGGCTGCCCGGGGGAGCCCTGAAATCACAGCGGCGCTTTGGGCGCTGAGCCAGGATGTCTGGGCAGAGGGCAGAGCCGGCAGCCCTCGTCCGGGGTGCGTGAGACAGAATGGGGGGGCGGTGCAGGCAGCCCCCGGTGTGGGGGGGTGAGGTGGGGGGGGCGGTGCAGGCAGCCCCCGGTGTGGGGGGGTGAGGTGTGGGGGGGCGGTGCAGGCAGCCCCCGGTGTGGGGGGGTGAGGTGGGGGGGGCGGTGCAGGCAGCCCCCGGTGTGGGGGGGTGAGGTGGGGGGGCGGTGCAGGCAGCCCGTGTGAAGTGTGCGTGGTACAAGGGCTGTAGTTGGCAGGACTCCTGAAAGTGGTGGTCCCCTGCCCTTCTAGAGCCGCTCATGTACAGAGCTCGAAGGCTTTGCTGGTGTGTTATGAAGACTCTGCCCCCCGGGGTTGTGGTAGGAATCGCTCACCCCAGGGAGCTGTACCTTCAAAGAAGGGCCTGGCGGCTGTTCAGCAGGGCATGGCATTGCCATCCCTGCGGTGAGGAGAGGAAGGGGAAGTGGTGCGGGTCAGTTAGGGAGGCAGAAGGGAATTGCCCGGCCTGGGAGGTGGCCAAGACAAGAGGGTGACAGGCCTGCACCTGGGATGCAGCCGGGGGCTCTTTGACCACAAGCAGACAACCCCTGCTCCACGCCTCCTGTGAAGGAGGTGGTGGGGCATGGACTGAGCCCTAACCCCGGGGGAAGTGTCACCTCCTGCAGCATTTTAGGGCTTGTCCTGGCTGGCGGTGAGATCTGGCGGGGCCCCAGGCGGCAGGCAGGGCGAGCGGGTTGCTGCTGTCCTGTCTGTGTTGTCAGTTGCCAAGTTATACAGATTTTGCTCTTTTAATCTGCTCATTACAGCACCCTACCCTGTGCCTGCGGCCTCCCAGACCACACGTTGCCTGGGTCCCTGCCCAAAGCATTTCCTCCCTTAGCCTGATGTGCCGTGGCAGCGAGCCGGTACAGGGTGTCAGTCAGAAGGTCTCCCAGCAAAGACCAGTGAGTGGCGTTGGAAGCTAAGCTCCCACGGGCTCTAAGGCAGGGGTGCCTCTTGGTAGCTAAGTCTTTGTTAAGTCCCCCCTTGTCGCAGGGGGGAGTTGGGGCCTCCAGTTGTGTGCAGCCCTGGGGCTTACCGTTGCTTTCAGACTCCCTCCTCTTCCTGTTTGTCATGCTCACGGGGTCCTGTTCTCCGTGAGGTTGCTGGCAGCTCTTTGGGGCTGGGATGAGCTCCTCCCCTTTGCATTGCCCCGGCATAGGGGTGATCAGGGCCTTCTGCATGCAGCAAACAGGAATGGAGCATCAGCAGGATTCTGGGTGAGGTGAGGCAGGGGCTTTGGTCTGCAGGCTCTAGGAGCCTGGTGCAGGCCGGCCCCCGTGTGGAAGCCTTTGTGCGGGGAGGAGGTGAAGGAGGCATGGAGCTGGTGCCAGGAGGGTGGAGGGAACAGATCCGAAAAGTGACCTGGTAACAGATGCAGGCAGGGGCTGTGTGAGGCATGTCCGGGGATCCACGCTCAGCGCCTTGGGGAGCACAGATTCTAAGGCTGAGGGACCATAGTGATTGTCTGCTCTGACCCCGTGTGCAGCCCAGGCCAGAGAGCTGCCCTGGATTCATTCCTGATGGAACTAGAGCAAAACATCCCATCTTGACTGAAAAATGGCCAGTGATGGAGAATCCACTATGGCCCTTGGTAAATTGTTCCAATGGTTAGTTACCCTTTGTTACAATGTGCCCCTTATTTCCAGTCTGAATTTGTCTAGCTTCAGCTTCCAGCCACTGGATCTCGTTAGACCTTTGTCTGCTGGGTGAGGAGCCCTCTGTGATCAAATTCAAGGTGCGGGGGGACGCCATGGCTGAGGCATCGTGTGCCTGTGAGGAGGATTTTGGAGGGGGTGGAGAGAGGGGAGGTTGTCTTCGTGGTCATGCAGCCTCTCCTTGAGCATCCTCCCTCCAGCCTCTTTCATCATTTCTGGTGCTTTTCTCTGAATTCTCCCATTTGCCAGAACAGGTTGGTACTGAAGGGCCTGGCTGGATCACGGCATTCAGGATGCAGAGCTTGAGCTGCCTCTGCAGCCTGAAATAACTCAGATGCTTTCAGCATCACCCCGTGTATTTCTCAGCTGTCCCAGTGAATGTCTGCATTGGGCTGTTTTCACTACACTTTTCCAAGCTGAATTCTCCTGTATTTCTAACCTTGCTAGGTTGGTTTGAATTATTTATCTGTGCTTTCTGGTGTTTGCAACACCTCTCTGCTCCAGCTCATCTGCAAATTTAATTATAATTCATTATTCAAGTGTCAAACGATACCCTGGTGGTCAGTTAAATTGTGTCTACTGTGCTTGTCCAAAAGCTCTGGCCAGTAATCCTAGTGAAATAACTTGTGTTCTGGATAACCCCCATGGCTGTCACTCTACGTTTGCAGAGTCTCTTTGGTTTTTGTTCCATTCTTTCACTAGGGATTGCAATTGGATTTGCCATACGATGGGGGCTGGGGTTACTGTTCTTTCTTGGATAGAAAATCAGTACCTCCTTTACGTTTTTCACTCCTCTCCAGAGCGCCATGATTTTTTACCAATATTGTCTGTAGTTCGGTAGGTTAATTAGCTGACTCCTGGATACCCGACAGTGCCTGGCACCCTGATGAGCTGATTTGATAGAGAGCGATCTTCGGTGTTCTATTTTCTTTTACCAGCAGCTGTTTTCACAAGTCCTTATTTGGGTGGCTAAAGACATTTAAATAATCTCAGCCTTTTTTGAGTCCTGGTTAATTTTATCTCCTTCCTTATTTATTAGTAGACCTGCTTTCTCTCTAGCGCTGATCCTGTCCCTGATAGATTTGTAAAATCCCTTCGTGTTTCCCTTAGCCCTTCATGTCATTAACTCATTCTGCTTTTTGTTGCCTTTTCTTTTCCCTGCAGCTTTGAAGGGACAGTATCAACTTACAAATCACAGTCCTGTCTGAAAATGTTTCCTTTCTATTGTTGCAGGTATCTCTTAAGAGCATCAGGGGAAAGGCTTGATTGAAATCTCCCTCTTTTCCAGTGAGATTCCTGTGTTCCTTTGACAGCTCTCCAGCTTTCACTGTCTTCCCTTTGCAGTTTATTTCCCCTGCTGTTTGAGTGGATCTTTCACACAGCAACTGGGGAGAGAGACATTTGAAAAGAACACCAGTTGGCAGGGGTCTCAGGGCAGGAGGAGGCTGTGGAACTACTCTCCAGGCACTTTTGAGAACTGACTAGCTTTGTGCTTTACTCTGTGCCTTTCTTTGGCTCTGTGTCTGTGGGTTCAGTCCCCCGCATTTCTCCATTGCCAGGGCAGCTTCCTGTATCCTCAGCTCTGCCTCTCCCTGGCAGTTTTCTAGGTACATTTGTGGCCTCTCACCTGAGTGTCTGAGCTAGTCCCTTGTGGAACAGGTTGGATGGGGGTCGCTGTAGTGTCCATTACCCCTGCTTGCCTCTGAGCTGGTCTGGGTCAGGTGAGTGCCAGGAGCTGTGTTCTGAAAGGCCGCCCTGTGGAGAGGTGTTGGACCTTCCCCCTGGCCGTGGCTCTGCCTGCAAAGGGTACTGCTATCCTCTGGTTCCTTTGGGATTCTTGACAAGGCGGCAGGGCCGGTTCCTAAGTGACCAGAGGAGCTAGCAGATGGGAGTTTTGCAAGGGAGTGTAGAGAGGGAGCGTGACAGCCAGATACACCTAACAAACATGCACTACACGTAGGCCAGTAACCCCACCAAAGAACGAACAAACAAATGAAATCTCTGCAAGAGTAAAAATAATGCAAAGATCACAGGCAGCCATCCAGCAGTGGAGTGGGGGCTGTCCAGTGTATTGCACTGAATGCAACATGTACATGGGCGCATTCAGTGCAAGGAGCTCGTGGCTCTCAGAGACCAAGTGCGGGCTCTGGCGACTACAGTGGCTGAACTGGAGGAGCTAAGGGAGCAGAGGTGCATAGAGGAGACTTTCCGGGACACAGCAGAGTGGTTTCACTCCCTGTCTGACAGCCTCTGTGCTGTTGAGGAGGATGAAAGTCTCGGGGAAAGAGAACATCAGGCTGGAGTGGAGGGAAACAATCCCATAGTTGGGACCCTTCTTCTAGGTGATGTCATGGTATCCTCTAGCACTGAGGTCCCCAGTTATTAGGAAGGTAATAGTAATGCAGGATTTCATAGAATCATAGAATATCAGGGTTGGAAGGAACCTCAGGAGGTCATCTAGTCCAACCCCCTGCTCAAAGCAGGACCAATCCCCAATTAAATCATCCCAGCCAGGGCTTTGTCAAGTCTGACCTTAAAAACTTCTAAGGAAGGAGATTCTACCACTTCCCTAGGTAACGCATTCCAGTGTTTCACACCCTCCTAGTGAAAATTTTTTTCCTAATATCCAACCTAAACCTCCCCCACTGCAACTTGAGACCATTACTCCTTGTCCTGTCCTCTTCTACCACTGAGAATAGTCTAGAACCATCCTCTCTGGAACCACCTCTCAGGAAGTTGAAAGCAGCTATCAAATCCCCCCCATTCTTCTCTTCTGCAGACTAAACAATCCCAGTTCCCTCAGCCTCTCCTCATAGACCCCTAATCATTTTTGTTGCCCTTCGCTGGACTCTCTCCAATTTATCCACATCCTTCTTGTAGTGTGGGGCCCAAAACTGGACACAGTACTCCAGATGAGGCCTCACCAATGTCGAATAGAGGGGGACGATCACGTCCCTTGATCTGCTCGCTATGCCCCTACTTATACATCCCAAAATGCCATTGACGTTCTTGGCAACAGGGGCACACTGCTGACTCATATCCAGCTTCTCATCCACTGTCACCCCTAGATCCTTTTCCGCAGAACTGCTGCCTAGCCATTCGGTCCCCAGTCTGTAGCGGTGCATTGGGTTCTTCCGTCCTAAGTGCAGGACTCTGCACTTATCCTTGTTGAACCTCATCAGATTTCTTTTGGCCCAATCCTCCAATTTGTCTAGGTCCCTCTGTATCGTATCCCTGCCCTCCAGCGTATCTATCTCTCCTCCCAGTTTAGTGTCATCTACAAACTTGATGAGGGTGCAATCCACACCATCCTCCAGATCATTAATGAAATATTGAACAAAACCAGCCCCAGGACCGACCCCTGGGGCACTCCACTTGACACCGGCTGCCAACTAGACATGGAGCCATTGATCACTACCCGTTGAGCCCGACAATCTAGCCAACTTTCTACTCACCTTATAGTGCATTCATCCAGCCCATACTTCTTTAACTTGCTGGCAAGAATACTGTGGGAGACCGTGTCAAAAGCTTTGCTAAAGTCAAGAAACAACACATCTACTGCTTTCCCTTCATCCACAGAACCAGTAATCTCATCATAGAAGGCGATTAGATTAGTCTTCCCTTGGTGAATCCATGCTGACTGTTCCTGATCATTTTCCTCCCATGTAAGTGCTTCAGGACTGATTCCTTGAGGACCTGCTCCATGATTTTTCGAGGGACTGAGGTGAGGCTGACTGGCCTGTAGTTCCCAGGATTTGATTATTACAAATATAGATAGCTGGGTTTGTGATGACTAGGAGAATCGCATGGTGACTTGTCTGGTGGGTGCGAAGGTTGCAGACCGCTTGAGACATCTAGACAGGAGCTGGTGGTCATGGTACATGTAGATACTAATGACATAGGGAAAAGCAGGTGAGAGGTCCTGGAGACCAAGTGTAGGCTGCTAGGTAAGAGATTGAAGTCCAGCACCTCCATGGTCGCATTATCTGAAATGCTTCCAGTTCCATGCTCAGGGCTAGGTAGACAGAACTGCAGCGTCTCAGTGCATGGATAAGACGATGGTTTTGGGAGGAGGGATCTAGATTTATTAGGAACGGGGGAATATTTGGGGAAAGGAGAATAGCCTAGTAAAGAGGAGATAATAGAAGTTGGTAAAATACAGGTAGGAACTGAAGAGAAATGAAAAAGACCCATTCAGTTCCATCACATGAAGGCAGACAACCAACTAGTGACAAATTTTGTAAGTGCTTGTGTACAAATGCTAGAAGTCTAAATACTAAGATGGGTGAACTTAAATGCCTGGTAGTAAAGGAGGATGTTGCTATAATAGGCATCACAGAAACTTTGTGGAACAATGATAATTGATGGGATGCTGTAATACTAGGGTACGAAATATGTAGGCAGGATGGAGCAGGTCACGCTGTTGAACGAGGGGCACTGTATGTGAAAGAAAACAGTCAAATATAGTAAAAATGTTAAATGGTGCCAGAGAATCACACTGGACAGAAATTCTGTACTGGAATAGTAAGAGTCTAGCAGTAGGGATATATTGCCAACCCCTGACCAGGATGGTGACAGTGACTGTGAAATGCTCAGGGAGATTAGAGAGGCGACAAAAACAGAAACCCCAATAGTAATAGTGGATTTCAGCTACCCTATATTGACCAGGTACATATCTCTTCAGCCCAGGATGCAGAGATAAAATTTCTAGACACCATTAATGACTGCTTCTTGGAGCAGCTTGTCTTGGATCCTCCAAGGAGAGAGGCAGTTCTTGATTTAGTCCTCAGTAGAGCACAGGATCTGGTCCAAGATGTGAATATAGCTGAACCGCTTGGTAATAGCATCACAGATCCATAGGGCTGGTGCTGTGACCCCAGCTTTGGAACAGGCTCTTGGAAGAGCCCTTCAATGAGCCAGACCCCCTAAAGGTCTCACTTTTCTCCAGAGTAAGCCACACGGCTTCACCACCTCCTTAAGCTGAACCTCTGGTCCTTCAGCACCTGTACCTCACACTGAGCTCTGGCCAGTGAGTCCAACTGGGACAGACCCCAAGGGAGACTTGTGCAGGCTTAGGGAGCCAGGCACCTGCTCCGCCAGTGGCTGCAGGGACATTCAGCCAGCACTTTCACACAGAAGCCATTGTTAGTTGACTGGACACGGCACAGAAAGTCCTTGGTTAGCCCAGAGAAAAGGAAGTGACAGCCTAGTCCATCCTGTTCAGTACAGAGCCCAACCTCCGTCCCTCTGACCTCTCTTAGTCGGGGCACCTGACCTGGGACAGCTTCCCATAGCCACCACTTAACTCCCACCTCACCCCCAGGCCTTTGTTCCCCAGCTGGGCAAACACGGCTTGGCTTTCTGTGGAGAGTTGCGGCCATCCATGGTGGCTGGTCGCTGGGTACCAAAGTCCCAGTGATAGGGGTTGCCATTGTCTTCTCACGAACTTCCTGGATATGGGGCCCAAGCCCCAGACAGCTGGGAGCTATCCACACCTGAGTCTCTGAGCTGCTGCAGAGAGCAAACAGCCCTTTCTATCCCTGGGGTAACCCTACATCACATAGGGAAAACTGAGGCACAAATAGGCTTCAGAAAAATATTTGAAAAACTTTCCACTCTGTCATAAATAGTCACCATAATGTAATTAAATTTCATATCCTTGTAGGGTGGAATATACAAAAGAAACCCACCACAGCAGCATTTAACAACAAAAAGGGGAACTACACAAAAATGTGGAAGCTAGTTACATGGAAATTAAAAGGAACAGTCACAAGAAGGAAATGCCTGCAAGCTGCATGGAAACGACTTAAACACCCAATAGAGGCTCAAATGAAAGAGGACCAAAAAATACCACCTTGGCTAAACAATGGAATAAAAGAGGTGGTGAGATGCAAAAAGGCATCCTTTACAAATTGGAACTCAGATCCCAATGAGGAATAGAAAAGAGCATAAGCTCTGGCAAGTCAAGTGTAAAAGTATAATGAGGCAGGCCAAGAAAGACTTTGAAAATCAACTAGCCAAAGGCACAAAAGCCAACAGCAAAATTTTTTAAAGTACATCTGAAGCAGGAAGCTGCCAAACCGACAATGGGGGACACTGGGCAATGGAAGTGCTAAAGGAGCACTCCAGGCAGACAAGGCTGTGTCAGAGAAGCTAAATTAATTCTTTGCTTTGGTCTTTGCTGCAGAGGATGTGAGGGAGAGTCACACACCTGAACTATTCTTTTTCAGCACAGATCGGAGGAATTGTCCCAAATGGAGGTGTCAGTAGAGAAGGTCTTAGAAGAAACTGTTTAATTTAATAGTAATAGGTCACTAAGACCAGGTGTTATCCACCCAAGAGTTCTGAAAGAACTTAAATGAAATTGCAGAACCAGTAACTGGAGTACATAACCTATTGCTTAAATCAGCCCCCCGATGACTGGAGGATAGCTAATGTAACACTGATTTTTACAAAAGGCTCCAGAGGCGATCCTGGCAATTACAGACTGGCGAGCCTGACTTCTGTGCCAGGGCAACTGGTTGAAACTAAAGAACAAAATTATCACACACATAGATGAGCACAATATGTTGGGGAAGAGTCAGGGGGGACTGAATCATCTATCTGCCGCCCCGACCGGGAAAATGGAGAAGTCTGCTGCTTGCCAGGAGCTAAGATTCGCGATGTGATGGAGAGACTGCCGAGACTCATCAAGCCCTCGGATCGTTACCCCTTCTTGCTTCTCCACGTGGGCACCAATGATACTGCCAAGAATGACCTTGAGCTGATCACTGCAGACTACGTGGCTCTGGGAAGAAGGATAAAGGAGTTTGAGGCGCAAGTGGTGTTCTCGTCCATCCTCCCCGTGGAAGGAAAAGGCCTGGGTAGGGACCGTCGAATCGTGGAAGTCAATGAATGGCTACGCAGGTGGTGTCGGAGAGAAGGCTTTGGATTCTTTGACCATGGGATGGTGCTCCAAGAGGGAGGAGTGCTAGGCAGAGACGGGCTCCACCTAACGAAGAGAGGGAAGAGCATCTTCGCAAGCAGGCTGGCTAACCTAGTGAGGAGGGCTTTAAACTAGGTTCACCAGGGGAAGGAGACCAAAGCCCTAAGGTAAGTGGGGAAGTGGGATACCGGGAGGAAGCACGAGCAGGAACGCGTGAGAGGGGAGGGCTCCTGCCTCATACTGAGAAAGAGGAGTGATCAGCGGGTTATCTCAAGTGTCTATACACAAATGCACGAATCCTGGGAAATGAGCAGGGAGAACTGGAAGTCCTGGTAAAGTCAAGGAATTATGATGTGATTGGAATAACAGAGACTTGGTGGGGTAACTCACATGACTGGAGCACCGTCATGGATGGGTATAAACTGTTCAGGAAGGACAGGCAGGGCGGAAAAGGTGGGGGAGTAGCACTGTATGTAAGGGAGCAGTATGACTGCTCAGAGCTCAAGTATGAAACTGCAGAAAAACCTGAGAATCTCTGGATTAAGTTTAGAAGTGTGAGCAACAAGGATGATGTCGTGGTGGGAGTCTACTATAGACTACCAGACCAGGGGGATGAGGTAGACGAGGCTTTCTTCCGGCAACTCGCAGAAGTTACTAGATCACACGCCCTGGTTCTCATGGGAGACTTCAATCACCCTGTTATCTGCTGAGAGAGCAATACGGCGGTACACAGATCCAGGAAGTTTTTGGAAAATGTAGGGGACAATTTCCTGGTGCAAGTGCTGGAGGAACCAACCGGGGCAGAGCTCTTCTTGACCTGCTGCTCACAAACCAGGAAGAATTAGTAGGGGAAGCAAAAGTGGATGGGAACCTGGGAGGCCGTGACCATGAGATGGTTGAGCTCAGGATCCTGACACATGGAAGAAAGGAGAGCAGCAGAATACGGACCCTGGACTTCAGAAAAGCAGACTTTGACTCCCTCAGGGAACTGATGGGCAAGATCCCCTGGGAGAATAACATGAGGGGGAAAGGAGTCCAGGAGAGCTGTCTGTATTTTAAAGAATCCTTATTGAGGTTACAGGGACAAACCATCCCAATGTGTAGAAAGAATAGTAAATATGGCAGGCGACCAGCTTGGCTTCACAGTGAAATCCTTGCTGATCTGAAATACAAAAAAAAAAGCTTACAAGAAGTGGAAGATTGGACAAATGACCAGGGATGAGTATAAAAATATTGCTCAGGCATGCAGGAGTGAAATCAGGAAGGCCAGATCACACCTGGAGTTGCAGCTAGCAAGAGATGTTAAGAGTAACAAGAAGGGTTTCTTCAGGTATGTCAGCAACAAGAAGAAAGTCAAGGAAAGTGTGAGCCCCTTGCTGAATGAGGGAGGCAACCTAGTGACAGAGGATGTGGAAAAAGCTAATGTACTCAATGCTTTTTTTGCCTCTGTCTTCACGAACAAGGTCAGCTCCCAGACTTCTGCATTGGGCAGCACAGCACGGGGAGGAGGTGACCAGCCCTCTGTGGAGAAAGAAGTGGTTCGGGACTATTTAGAAAAGCTGGATGCGCACAAGTCCATGGGGCCGGATGCGTTGCATCCGAGAGTGCTAAAGGAGTTGGCGGATGTGATTGCAGAGCCATTGACCATTATCTTTGAAAACTCATGGCAATCAGGGGAAGTCCCGGATGACTGGAAAAAGGCTCATGTAGTGCCCATCTTTAAAAAAGGGAAGAAGGAGGATCCTGGGAACTACAGGCCAGTCAGCCTCACCTCAGTCCCTGGAAAAATCATGGAGCAGGTCCTCAAGGAATCAATTCTGAAGCACTTAGAGGAGAGGAAAGTGATCAGGAACAGTCAGCATGGATTCACCAAGGGCAAGTCATGCCTGACTAATCTAATTGCCTTCTATGACGAGATAACTGGCTCTGTGGATGAGGGGAAAGCGGTGGACGTGTTGTTCCTTGACTTTAGCAAAGCTTTTGACACTGTCTCCCACAGTATTCTTGCCAGCAAGTTAAAGAAGTATGGTCTGGATGAATGGACTATAAGATGGATAGAAAGCTGGCTAGATTGTCGGGCTCAACGGGTAGTGATCAATGGCTCCATGTCTAGTTGGCATCCGGTATCAAGTGGAGTGCCCAAGGGGTCGGTCCTGGGGCCGGTTTTGTTCAATATTTCATTAATGATCTGGAGGATGGTGTGGATTGCACCCTCATCAAGTTTGTAGATGACACTAAACTGGGAGGAGAGATAGATACGCTGGAGGGTAGGGATAGGATACAGAGGGCCCTAGACAAATTGGAGGATTGGGCCAAAAGAAATCTGATGAGGTTCAACAAGGACAAGTGTAGAGTCCTGCACTTAGGATGGAAGAATCCCATGCACCGCTACAGACTAGGGACCGAGTGGCTAAGCAGCAGTTCTGCAGAAATGGACTTAGGGGTTACAGTGGGTGAGAAGCTGGATATGAGTCAACAGTGTGCCCTTGTTGCCAAAAACACCAATGGCATTTTGGGATGTATAAGTAGGGGCATTGCCAGCAGATGGAGGGACGTGATCGTTCCCCTCTATTCGACCTCATCTGGAGTACTGTGTCCAGTTTTGGGCCCCACACTACAAGAAGGATGTGGAAAAATTGGAAAAAGTCCAGCGGAGGGCAACAAAAATGATTAGGGGACTGGAACACATGAGTTATGAGGAGAGGCTGAGGGAACTGGGGATGTTTAGTCTGCGGAAGAGAAGAATGAGGGGGGATTTGATAGCTGCTTTCAACTACCTGAAAGGGGGTTCCAAAGAGGATGGCTCTAGACTGTTCTCAATGGTAGCAGATGACAGAACGAGGAGTAATGGTCTCAAGCTGCAGTGGGGGAGGTTTAGGTTGGATATTAGGAAAAACTTTTTCACTAGGAGGGTGGTGAAACACTGGAATGCGTTACCTAGGGAAGTGGTGGAATCTCCTTCCTTAGAAGTTTTTAAGATCAGGCTTGAGAAAGCCCTGGCTGGGATGATTTAACTGGGAATTGGTCCTGCTTTGAGCAGGGGGTTGGACTAGATGACCTCCTGAGGTCCCTTCCCACCCTGATATTCTATGAGTCAACATAGCTTTTTTTTAAAGGGAAATCATGCCTCACCGATCTACTAGAATTCTTTGAGGGGGTCAGGAAGCATTTGGAGAAAGGAGATCCAGTGGATATAGTGTACGTGGACTTTCAGAAAGAACTTTGACAGGATCCCACACCAAAGACTCTTAAGCAAACTCTGCAGTTATGGGATAAGAGGGAAGGTCCTTTCATGGATCAGTAACTGGTTAGAAGATAGGAAACAAAGGGTAGGGATAAGTGGTCAGTTTTCAGAATGAAGAGAGATAAATAGTGGTGTGTCCCATAGTGGGAGTGTGCCTGGACAAGTGCTGTTCATATATTCATAAATGATCTGAAACGGGGATGAACAGTCAGATGGCAAAATTTGCAGATGATACAAAACTACTCAAGGTAGTTAAGTCCCAGGTAGACTGCGAAGAGTTACAAAGGAATGGGTCACTGGGCAACAAAATGACAGTTGAAATTCAAATTGATAAGTGCCAAGGTAATGCACGTTGGAAAACATAATCTCAACTATACATACAACATGATAGGGTTTAAATTAGCTGTTACAACTCAAGAAAAACATCTTGGAGGGTATTATGGATATTTCTGTGAAAACATCCACTCAATTTGCCACAGCACTCAGAAAAGCTAACCGAATGGTAGGAACCATGAGGAAAAGGACTGATAATAAGACTGAAAATTTCATAATGCCTCTATATAAATCCATGGTAGGCCCACACCTTGAATACTGCGTGCAGTTCTGGTTGCCCCATCTCAAAAAAGAAAAATTAGAACTGGAAAAGGCGCAGAGAAAGGCAACGAAGATGATCAGGGGATGGAACAGCTTCTGTACCAGGAGAGATTAATAAGATTGGGACTGTTCTACTTGGAAAAGGGATGACGGGGGCTGGGGGGCTATGATCGAGGTCTAAAATTATGACTGATGTGGAGAAAGTGAACAGGGAAGTGTTATTTACCCCTTCGCATAACAGACAAACCAGGGAAATGAATAGGCAGCAGGTTTACATATGGAAATACTTCACACAATGCACAGTCAGCCTGTTACTGGTTGCCAGGGGATGATGTGAAGGCCAAAAGTATAAGAGGGTTCAAAAAAAGAATTAGATAAGTTTTTGCAGGACAGGTCCATCAACAGCTATTAGCCAAGATAGTCAGGGATGTAACCTCATGCTCTGGGTGTCCTTAAGCCCTTGACTGCCAGAAACTGGGACTAGCCAATGGGATGGCTCACTTGGTAATTGCCCTGTTCTGTTCATTCCCTCTGAAGCACCTGGCACTGGCTGTTGTCAGAAGACAGGACACTGAGCTAGGTGGACCATTGCTCTGGTCTGGCATGGCCATTTGTGTTGAATGGCTGTGTCCCTTGTTCTTGATGTGCCTGCTTGGGTGTGTTTAATCCGGCACGGTGCAGATCGTGACACTTGGATTTGTGTGTCTGTCATGGTAGCAGCGGATGCTGCTGGGAGTGGAATGCTTGGGGTGCAGCAGGCCCTGAGCAGTGCTTGGGGCGCCTGCCTTCCCTATGCAGTACCTGCTTCGGCCCTGGCATTTGCAGTCCACCTTCCCTGTGCTTGTGAAACCGTGCACTTCCCAGACCAGATGGTCCATGAACATATTCAGTCTGGTGTCCCACCCCCAGTGCCCAGTTAGCAATCTGTCTACTGCTGCTAGTGCAGTTAGAGATCCCCTGGCTTTGGGAAGCAGATGGGGGGGGGGGGCGAGTGTGCACACAGTGTGCACTCTGGGGTGTGTCTGGGCAGACTCGTGCGAGCACCAGGGCAGTAGGTGGCTCTGGCTGGCTGGGACTGAGTGCCCAGATGGCTCTGAAGCATCGGAGAAACTCGAAAGGAATCCAGGTCATGGGTTCGCAGGGACAAAAGGGCTGTGTGCTCCCGAGGAATGGGACGTGTAGGCGACTGACACGCTCCCCATGGCAGCCCCTTGTGGGGGCCTGTCACGGAGTCCCTGGGTGATGCTCTGGAACTGCTCCCCATGAAGCCGGGCAGGACTCTGGGGAAGTCTCCTTTCTGTGAGCAGCCTGTCTGCAGGACACACAGCT